ATAACATGAAGAGGCCAAGGGCCAGACCAATGACAAGATGGCGTGACGAAATAACGAAATTTGGGGCCAAGTTGGAAAAGATTGGGAGAGGGCCAACGTCCTGCAGTGGACTGATTCAGGCTGATTATGATGATGATAATATATATATATATATATATATATTATATATATAATATATATATATATATATATATATATATATATATATATATATATGTGTGTGTGTGTGTGTGTGTGTGTGTGTGTGTGTGTGTATACATATTACATACACATGAATTATTACATATATGCGTCTGTTTCATACATGATAACAATAGAGTGGATTTCCCCATAAGGCTGTACACAGATAGCTCTACACCCCCAGCGCCACATTCCCCAAGGCATGCGAAAGTCCTTCCCCGATTTCCCTGGAGTTGCTTCCCTTTGCTCACGGAATGCCTCTTGGGGGACGTCTTGCCTCCAAGTCGCGCTCCCTTTCGCAAACCCTTAATTAATCGTAGGAATGTGGATTACTTTTAATTACTGGCCGTTGGGGAATGATTATTACTCTGCCAGCCGCCGTCATCGACTTCATCACCATTCGCCTGATCATTAGCAGTGCTAATGGGAGTTATCTATATCATTGTTATTATTATTAGTGTTATTATCATTATTGCTGTTGTTGCATTGCCATTATTACCTTCATGCTTTTTGTTATCACTATTATAATCTTATTACTATTATCATCACTGTTATTATGATTATCATTATTACTATTTATTATCACTGTTATTATGATTATCATTATTACTATTATTATCATAAATATTATTGTTTTCGTTATCATTATTATTATTGTTATTATTACCATTATCATTGTCATTAACATTATCAATATTACTATTGATGTTCTGCTTGTTAACATTGTTATAATCATTATTACTATTACCACTTTTATTGTTATTAATGTCATCATTTTCATAATAATAATTGATATCATTATCTTTATTAACATCTCTATTATCACAGTTATTAGTATCATTATCATAATTATTACTGTTATCATTATTATCATTATCAATATGATCTTCATTATGATTATTACTATCATTATTGGCATGAATGTCATTACTTATATCTTTATCATCATCATCATTATTATCATTATAATTATTACTGTTACTGAAATACGTCTTTTTCACCATGTGTTATAGTTATTTCCATCATCATTTTCATTATCACTGGTATTATCATCATGATCATTAGTTATTAGACTTATCATTAGTATTAGTCATAATTGTTGTAGTTATTTTTATTACTATTATTACCTTAACCACATGTATTACCGAAGAAATAAAAATCCTCATCTTTACCAATCGAAGTGTTATCAGTATACTTTCGGACCAATACTGTCATTATCAATATTTGTTACATAATTGCATTTCTTATTACTATCGTTATTATTCATCAATTTTACAGTGAGTATTATTGTCTGAATCATATCACGATCATTACCATTACCTTAATATCTACCATTTTCTATTAATATCGTTTTAATGTTATCAAAGCGTATATATACTCACCAATTGTTGCAATATTTATAACCATTGTAATACTCGACAATTCCCGGTAATGTTTTGGTCAATGATATCAAATACTGCTATCTCTCACTCGTATATCATCTCTGTATGATAATTTACTTATTTACTGTCTTCCTGTTTATCTATCTCACAATAGATATCTAAATGTATTTGTGCATGTCTGTATACACACAAACACAAACACACATGTGTATATATATGTACATATATATATATATATATATATATATATATATATATATATATATATATATATATACATATGTATATATATATATATATATATACACATATATACATATTTATATATACATACATATATATATTATATATATATATATATATATATATATGTATGTATATATATATATATATATATATATATATATATATATATATATATATATATTATATATATATATACACATATGTATATTATATATATATAATATATACATATAATTATATTATATATATATATATATATATATATATATATATATATATATATATATGTACGTATATATGTATGTATGTATGTATATATATGTGTGTGTGGGTCCATATATATATATATATATATTAATATATATATATATATATATATATATATAATATATATATACATAAATATACATACACACACACGCACATATATATATATATATATATATATATATATATATATATATATATATATATATATATGTATGTATGTATGTATGTATGTATGTATGTATGTATGTATGTATGTATGTATGTATATATACACACAAACACACACACATCTGTGTGTGGTTATATACATACATACACACACACATATATATACATATCAGTGTATGTGATTCATACACGTATATAATATGTATATCGACAATCGATTTATCTCTGACCAAAAGTAACTTTTAATAATTTCGTACAAATATGTATAACAAATTATGTGCTGTTGTATCAGAATAAGTAGGAAATGCAACATTTATTTTACGGCAGCTAAATACATTTTTTTTCTTCAGAGAACAGTAAAATTTATGGACACGACGTCTGTGAGTATTCGAGTGAACTGCAGCAGAATTAAGAGAATTAGTTATACATAATTTCTTTGTGACGATAATTATATTAGTATGATCATTAAGAGGGGAGTTAATTTGAGTTTCGCCATGATATGTTATCTGAAAATTGCTTTAACCATACAGATGTTTCTTTTGCCTGTAAAATCGTTTCAAAGGATTTTTTTTATTTATTTAAACTTGACACTCTGGGGCTGAGAAATTTGGTTTGAAGTTTAGTACTCACAATAAAGACAAGAGTGCCAGTAACAGCCGCTCAGAATCCTTGAGAAAGCAATGAGATTACGTGGTGATGACCTCGTTATCAATGAACGCAAAAATTCTCCTTCGGGTTCGAGGCTTTAGGGAAAGGAGGCCTCCATCTCGGTGACGCTGGCACTTGGCGTTCGTTCCGAGGCCCTGTTTAATCATGGGAGCGGCCTGCGTCGCCGTGAATGCGGGCGTGGTATCAATCTCCATAAGCGAGGCGGCGAGCACATGGCCGCGGCGTGGCGAGTGTGCCCAGCAGGCCAGCAGCAGCAGCGGCAGCAGCAGCAGGCCGGGGCAGCGGCTGTTTATCTGCAATAATGAGGGCGGCGCCGTGGGCTAGTGCGGCCCCTCCATCACTCACGGGCCGTTACCAGCGCCGCCTCACGCCCTCGGGCCGCCCTGCTGGACCCTGGACCACCCGGCCCACAACACACCCTAATTTGACACCCGAGTGGCCCGCCCTGTTAGAATATCTCCATTAACCACGTCACTCCACTCCCTGATTGAGCTATTCATGGTCCCCTTTGATATGCCGGTCTCTCCTCCCCATTGGCCAATTGATAATTCCCGAGCCACTCACCGCGACGGAGGCCTGGCGGCTCCGCCCATGGGCCTCCGTGCGGCCAATGCCGCGCTAGAAAGGGCGGGGCCAAAGCGGGTCCCGCCCAATCACGTGTGTCGCTCGCCGTGTGTGGCTGGCGGGCGGCGCCTGTAGTCACTGGCGGGCGGCAAACATCAAAGGCGGCCATTAGGCGTGTGAAGGCGCTGCTCTATCATTAACCAGTCGACCAGTTGGCACATCTTCATCGGGCGCGCTGGACTCCAGTGATTACTCTCCGCCTGATGCGATCAGCATCAGTCTGTCGGTGACCAGCGCTTAGACGGGAGGCATTTGGCCGTGCTCTCTGTGATCAACTTTGTGGCGAGAACTTGGTGCGAGCGGACCGCGAGGGAGTGTGGTCCCGCAGACGGTGTTAGTGAGGGGCAGTGTGAGGCCGCAGTGATGGAGATCAGGGTGGAATGTGTGGCCAGGATGGAGGACAGTGATTCCCCTTCTTCGCCCCGCGAGAACAGGCCAGCGAGCCCCTGTGACAGTGAGATCAGTGTGGGATGCGAGGGCGAGGCGCGCGAGGAGCAGCCGTCGCCCATGGACATGACCACCACACACGCCGAGACCTCCACGGAGGACGACGAGGAGGAGGAGACGGAGCCGCACTCGCCGTCCACGTCGCGGGGCGCTCCGTCGCCCACCTTGTCGTCGGGCTCCATACACACGGAGTCCTTCACCTACCTCTCAGACGACGAATACTTCAGACCCCTCAAGAGATTAGCGATGTCGGGGACGTCGCCGCCCCCGCACCACCACGCGGCGCCACAGGCCTCGCCCTTGAGGGAGGCCGAGCCCGAGCCTTCGTCGCCTCCTTCGCCGCACCACCAGCAGGAGCCGCAGCCGCAGCAGGACGAGCCGCAAGTCATCGTAGGGCGCGGAGACGTGGCTGCCGCGGCGGTGGATCAGAAGCAGGCGGCGGGACTCCGGTCCTTCTCCATCCTCGACATCCTCTCCTACAAGCCTTCCCGCCGGAAGTCCTCGGTGCCCGTGAAGATCGTGAGGCCCTGGGACACGCGGGAGGAGGGCGGGCCGGCGGAGGGCGCCCCCAAGACCAGCCAGAGCGAGAAGAAGAGCGGCAACAACGACAAGGGAAGTGCTCTTGACGCCCTCTTCAAGATGACCAACAAGACACTCGATAACCTCAACAAGGACGACAAAGCCGGTGAGTCCCACTCTCTTTCTCCTTCAGACTTCTGTCTCGGGCGTGTCACAAGATAGATGTAAACATGCGGACGGTAGATATCCGGTGAATAATGCTAGCGGTAAATTTAGGAGAGCCATTTGCTTAACATGGCAACCAAAAATACACAAATCACCAACTAAAGGAGACCATGTCAAAACAAAGCGTCAGAAAATAAAATAGAGGGAAAGCAGGCAAAACAGCGTCACTCCATCCTCCTCCCTTTGTACACAGTCCCTCCGCCCACCATTAGTAAAGGGCAACAGGCAAGCTAAAGGGACACCTTACCTCCCTGAAAAATGTCTCGTGCAAGATAACCCACCTTCGCGAGCCAGAGCTTGTCATTTGGACGCGAAACACTGGGATCAAGACTAGTTTATGGGCGCGTGTTCCAGGGTATTATAGAGGGGCTGAGGGTCTGTTTGTGGGCGACTTGCAGTTGCTCAGTATGTATGTGTGTCTGTGTGTTTCTAAGCAAACGGTGAATTCTTCTCTCTAACTTTATGCGAGTCCTACCGAGTCCCGGTGTTATGAAAGAAGAATTATGCAAATAGATTTCATTAGATAGGGAAGGCGGGTGTTGATACCACAGATAATAGTTGGAGGATTTTTTGTTTTTGTTTCCGTTTTATCAAGTGGTTTTGAAGTTACCGGCGTTTACGATTCAAGCGGTCATTGCTCACTTCCTGTATGAATAATGAATGACCATTTAGCCTGGTTCTGCTTCTCTCATTGTATTTTTGCGCTTGTCTGCAAGGTTGTATACGAATAATCGCGATTGTGTCTTTGCAAAATACCGAATAATCCATCAGATCGTAACCAGCATCATAAACTTCACGTGCTCTCAGTAAGAAAAAAGAAAGCTGAGAATTTTACAACTAAATTCCCATATATCACACGGGATGCGAGACGGATGGGGAATGGATGGATGTTGCCGGGAAAATGGATGCGATGAGGCCGCTTCCGCTAGTGGCTCGCGCTAACACACGGCCGTAATGCCTGATAAACAGAGAGAGAGAGATACGGAGAAAGAGAGAGAGAGAAATAGCGAAAGATAGAGAGAGAGATAGCGAAAGAGAGAGGAGGAGAGGGAGAGAGAGAGAGAGAGAGAGAGAGAGAGAGAGAGAGAGAGAGAGAGAGAGAGAGAGAGAGAGAGAGAGAGAGAGAGAAGAGAGAGAGAGAAGAGAGAGAGAGAGAGAGAGAGAGAGAGAA